CAATTTTCTGAAATGGGCCCCATTCTGGGGGCTGCACCGTTTTCCCTCCTCTATGTTCCAGGCTTGCTTCCAGCTTTTAAACATCTGCATATGCTCGGTAAAAATGTATCTAAAGGTATAAAGCCTGCTGCATTTTCGCAGATCAAAGCAGCATGCTCAGAATATTTGGATGCCGGTTGAAAGGAAATGTTAAAAGCTCAGTTGATGGTCATGGTCTCCACAATGGGATGATGGCTGAAGAAAAATAGTGGGTAGAGATGATTTGTGGAGTTCATTAATAATTGCATAGCTATTAGAGAGGGATTGTGTAAGGTTTTCTTTAGAGCTGGAATGTTTCTATTGTGTCAACATATAAATGTGAGTGTTTAACGCATGACTGCTTTAATCTCAGTGTAATCAATTTTTAATATTGCCATGCAAACAGCATTACAAGCTCACATTAAGTGATCAACTCAGTGCATCTCAGGCCAGTTTCAGAGATCCAGATTAGGCTTAAGCCTGCACTAAAAAGGATTTTCAGTGCTGTATACTCACAGTGCAGTTCTGTTTAAGACTACACCCTTTAAAAATTATTGTAACAATAGCAGAACCCTTTTTGGTGCTATATAGAGCCCTTTTCAAAAAGGTTCTATATAGAACCATGTACAACACATTCTCCATCAATCTGAAGAACTATTTTACAATACAAAGAAAACTTTAATAATGCAAAGGGCTCCGTAAGTAACTAAGTAAGTTTTATTTATAAAGCATTCTTAAAACAACCTGCATTGACCAAAGTGCATCAAATTAGCACACACATAAACAACACAAGTATGAAATTAAAACATAAAAATAATAAGAAGAGTTACATAAAATAGGGAAGAAAAAAGATGAACAGAAGAAGTAAAAAAGAGTTAAAACGAGATGATATACAAAAAAGATGATGAGTAAAAAAGATATAAAATGCATGTATAATCACCACAGCCCCTCACTATTCAAATGCAAGTTTGTATGTTTGAGTGTCATATAGGACCATTTTCTTTTCTAAAGAACTCTTAAAGAACCATTGTTTATAAGAGCGTAGGCTTAGTCCATGTATGCTGTTGCATGGATGCACTCTTGCACGTACACAAAGTACGCTGTGAATACCAGGAAGCAAAGCAAAACAAGCATAAAGTAATTTGATATTTCTAGAGGGATAGGTTCAATCTACATTTTTATTGTTTTTTTCAATTTTCTCATAACCAGTTCCCACTGTTCTAAGCATCTGTTTCATCATACATCAGCTTCGGCATTGCCAGTGGAAATGATCAAGGCTGCATTCTTCCTGCTATGTTTATGAAGCTTGCCATGGCGAATTGTTGAGCACCTCTCCATGCTTAGAAGTGAAAATATTCCTGCCAGGATGCAGCTTTGCTTAGAGACAGGCGCACTGCCACCTTCCTTACTAATGAGAACACAAAGAATCTCTGCCCTTGGAAATCACATGGCCTAGGCATGTTTCAAACCCAGTGGTGGAGCTCAGTGCTACTCAGTATGACAAGCCTTTATCAGGCATGGCACGCTAGGACAGTTGATGCAATGTTCTTTCAAAATGCCTACATGCTCTGAGTCACATCTCGGATCAGGTGAGGGATGATAAGGTGGAGATGGGACGGGTGGACTCCAACCCTTTGCTGATGAGCTGCAACACATAAGATTGATTATCGACTCCTCCCCCTGATTCTCGCACACTGTTAGTGGAGTTATCAGCGCAAACAGGCAGAATTGCTATGAATGACAAAAGTACAAGACGAGATTAACATACGTGATTTGGCTTTAGCTCTCTAGACATACTCACTGTGCTAACTGGCGAGACTGGAGAAATGTGGAGCAAGAAAAAACGTTGTACCAATATTGTGACTGTCTCTTCACATTATAACAAAACTGCATTTAATAAGAAGCTTTAATCAGAAGCAGAAGCAGAATGAGAATTGGTTTTGTAAGCCAAGTAAGATATCACTTACAAGGAATTTGTCTTGGCAGACAAATTTGTTTGCTCTAGCAGTACACAGTTACACAGTGGACAATAGAAATGATCTGGAAACATCTTGTTGTGTGATAATTTAGTTACAACAGGCTGAGAATATATATATATATATATATATATATATATATATATATATATATATATACACACACATATATATGATATGCATGTGTGTATATGTGTGTGTGTATGTGTGTGTGTGTGTGTGTGTATATATATATATATATACATATATGGTTGTGTATATGATTTGCATTTTCATTTGTATGATCAAGCTCTTCACAGTGTGTGTGGAGAGTGTCGCAGAACAAATCCTACATAAATGCTATCAGATTTGAAACACTCTATCTTACAAACAACATTACGAAAGTGAGAGCTGGAACATAAGAGACAGTACAATAAACATCTGATTGCTTATTATGTCTTGTGACAGAAATGATTAAATGACCAAATAACCCATGTTAATATTTAAACACAAAATGATTTTTGTGACTCTAGTATCTCAGTAATTCATTTGCCAAGGATCAACAGTGGTGGGACAATGTGGTAACACAGACATATACAGTACATTGTGTTCTCAATTAAAGTTACAGCACTCTGCGTCGTGACCAGAACACCACCTCCAGGTCACGGTAGGACTGAGGGCCTTTCCCAGCGCCCTCATGCTTGGTATTTCATTTTTCAACAGCACCATTTCCTACATGTGTTGGGAGAGACGTGAGTCAGTGAGCAGCAGGTTCATTCAGGAGAGACGTCTGCTTATTTATGTACACCTAATGGAGCACGTTGTTGAGGTAATGGAGGCTCTCTAATAATGACATCACCTGCAGGTGCTATGGCCTAAGGAGCATATCTCAATTTAGCACTGTCAGCTTTCCTTACAAGGCTGAAGGGTAGAGACAACATTGAGGCCATTATTTGCCATCTATGAGTCGTTTTTATACTGTACTAATATGACAGGCGGATGAGTTGTCACAGACTGGTTTTGGAAGGTCACCAAGGACAGAAGATTCTTAACAGACTGCGGTAGCACAGAACATTGGCGAGTTAACAAATGTTCCACCCCGTAACCTTAGATACATAATATCTTCACTTAAGAAATTCATACACTTTGCTGTCCTACATTTTGAGACTCTTTATGTCAGGAATTCTTATTGAAAACATATACATTAACTGCAGATGTTCTCAAGACAACTAATGACATTACATCGTGGCCTACATTTTAGGTCAGACTACGGCATCCTACGAAGCCCACTATATATGTTTTGAATTAATAGATAATTTAAGAGGTCTAACATCATATTCACAGGAATTTAAGCTACATGAACTTCCCTCACTTATATTTGAGTCTGTATCAGCTTGTGTAAGTAGGAAGATTTTGGATGAAATCAAACCTCAAATGTGGTGTTTCTAGCTAGCCTACTAGTTAGCTAACTCTTCACACATTACGCAGTTTATACAAGCACCTTATGCATAACTGTTGCAGATTTAAGCAACAGAACATAAGAGGGAATTTGTTATCATGGATAACATTACAACAGTGATTAGTAAAACAAGTGTTAGTAAAACAAGTCTTTTATTGCTTTTATGCAACAGCTCTGCAAAATAGAAAAAAAGACAACAAAGAAGCCCTGAATCACCTGAGCATCAGATGTGCTTTAATACTTTATATTCCTTCCACCAAAAAAGTAGTAGCCTGTTGTGCTACAGATAGAGCCATAAAAATGTCCCAATATCAGGTTCAGCCCAGTTTTCTTATTACTTGCTAAATTTACCTGAATGTTATTTTGTTCCAGCCAGTCTGTAAAACATTTCACAGCCCTTGTTTTCCCAATTGTATTTTATTCCAGTTTGTCTAGATGTCCCACCATCACAGCTGTCGAGCAAAAAGCTCTGGAATTTGATATATGCCTGCTGTCACACTCTTTAGAAGAAATTGGCTGCAGGTCAAATATTACCTTTCAGAAGTTCTAGATATAGAAGTATCTAATGTATACATTTTCTATTTTTGTATGTGCTAAAGACAAGTGCAAAAAGAGTCATTACTTAGCAACCGGTGTTCAGCAGAATGATCAGAGCAGGCGTCAGAGGGTCATTTAGTGTGGCGTTGTCCCACCAACCTCCCACTAAACCCACTACGCTTAATATGCACTTGTATAGAGGTATGCATAAAAAAATATGAAAGTAAACTTTGTGCAAGCTTTTGCTCAAAGCTTCTGCTGTAAAATAATACTTCAGTTAACAATGGTGGGTTTGTATTTTGTTCTGTATGTTGTGGGATGATGCATCAGCAGACAGATTTCTTAGACGGGTAGATGTTTGGTGATTCCAATGCCCCAGTCATGACAAAGTTCTGACGCTGGTCCTGGGAATGATAGTTATTTTGAAAAACCTCACCTGTAGGAACTGCATGTAGAGCTAGCTAAACAGCAGGCCAGCACAGGTTAGAACACGACAGGTTAGATTATATTATGTTTCCAGTGAAATAAGCCTTTGAGTGACACCAATACAAGATCAGAGTTGAAATGACTCGTATTTGCTGGATAAATGTCTAACAGAACATGTTTTACTGCTTTCCTTTCCTTTGGACTTTCCGAAACAAGAGCCTGGAAACTTGAATGTAGGGGGACGTGTGTGCGTGACTATGTTTTTCCAAACGACTGTTAATAAAATGTAAAATGTGAATATATTTAATGATAATGGAGTGGCATTTTGATACATGTGAAATGTCTGTATATTCATTCACAAATGAGTTACACCCTGTTGACATAACTAACAAATTCAAGTACACATTCCTGAAACGTATGTCATCCTCAGCTCTACAAAAAAAGAAAACATTAAAAATAACCCTTTTGTTCTGCAAGTAAATGAAGTGCACTTCGTCTTTCCTTTGTGCACCAGTGTGTAAACACACACGCACACTCCGTGCGCCTGCTGTGATTGGCTGGCTGAGCTGCAGTCAGGGCTGTTGCAGTATAAAACAAGAGATAGAGGAGGAGACAGCTCTAAGACTGTTAGGATCCTTTCCTTGACCACTCAAAGGCTTCTCTCTCTTGGTTGGATTTTTCTTTCTCACTGCGACCATGTGTAAGGGACTTGCAGCCCTACCTGCAACGTGCTTGAAAAGGTATGAATCTCATCGCATCTCCATGGTGACAGGCTTTGGATTTCATCAAGGATATATATGATTTATGTTAGATGATTGATGATGATAGAAAAGAGGACTCAACATGTGTTGAAGCTCACTGAGGCTTAGCAACAATTCTTGGAGTGAGCTTTTTTACCTTAAACATCTTCGAGATTTCCTGTTTGGCAAACTGTGTCTTACATACGTTTTTTCTCCAGTGCGAAAGATATAAAGCACAAGATCGGCTTCCTGCTTCAGAAGCCCGAGCCTGTTCAGGATCAAAAGCTTGCTAAGGAAAAAGAAAAGGCCACTGCAGTGAAAAGGTGAGGTTTGAAACTAAATGATAAAGCAAGAGCTCAACTTGGATAAATAAGAATACCTACTTTCTTATTACTTTGAATCATTTAAAGGACACATTCTTGGGTTTGGGTGACCTGTATAAATATGTGAATATACAAATGAGATTTTAATTCAATTTAGAGTTTATAATGACAAATAACACAACACAAAATCTTAAAACAAGTACATTTTCTCTGAATTTAGTTTCACAGTTTATAAAAAAAGCTCATGAATGTTCTACAAAAATAGCCTAGCAGTAGCAGTAATATAGACTATATATAATTTCTGCATGTCTTTTTCCTTTTTAGCATCGCTCCTGTTGATGCTGAGAAATGGAAAACATCATTTAACAACTTGATGAAGAATGATGGTGAGTGTCAAATTCATGGCATTAAAGAAACCGGGTTTATTCTGACAGCCATGCCTCAGAGCCATTTCTGTTCAGTGGAGAAGTTGCAGTGTTGGGCAAAAAAAAGAGTGCACGCTGATTAATGAGAAACTCTTATTCACTGTCACGGCGTCCTTGACACATTTAATGTTCCTCTTTTAAGAGAGCATGTGTTTGTTGCTCTGACTCAGCCAGGCTTGCGGCTGTTTTCTCAGGCTTCTGAACGTGTGCTACGTGTCCACAGCCTGCCCTGGGTGGCCCCCAAAGAGCCTGCATGTTCTGCTCTGTTAGGCCCTTAGGGGTCAACCACCAGAGGGACAGAACTGAGGAGCAGTGGCTTTCTGAGAATCTGTGCAGACCTTGGCCACTGACCCCTTCATTCTAAACGTCCTCAGAGGCCTCCGACCCCCCTCCAATCCCGCTCCCCCCTCCATCCCCAGTGAATTAAGTTAGATAGTCGGAGGCAAAGTCCATTTATATGACGTAAGACTTTTACGATCCGCCCCAAGTTAATGGAAAGTCCTGCGCTGCCGAGATAGACAGGTGTTAGTGACGGATTCTGGACGTCTCATGAAACCTTTCTTTGTTTCAGTGGGGCGGACTGCGTTTGCAGCCTTTCTGAAGTCGGAGTTCAGCCAGGAAAACATAGAGTTCTGGGAGGCTTGCGAGGACTTCAAGAGGTTGCCTGTGAAGCAGATGGAAGCTAAAGCCAAGCAAATCTTCGAGCTCTACGTCGATGTCGATTCTCCAAAAGAGGTGAGATGCCAGCCTTTGCTCTGATACACAATGTCTAAAGCAGCCATTTCAGATGTTTTCAACATGCCCTTTTATTATTACCTCCAGGTCAATCTGGACTCGGCAACGAGAGAAGAAACCAGAAGAAATCTGGAAAAGTGTGATGTCACGTGTTTTGACGAAGCACAGAATAAGATCTTCACACTGATGGAAAACGACTCATATAGACGCTTTCTGAGGTCTAAACTGTTCCGAGACCTGTGCCAATCACCCATGGATGAAAAACAATGTGGCTTGGAGGGAAAAGGGAACCTTCCTGAGTTTAGCCCGCGCCTCCTGTCTCATTGCGCTTAAGCTACGATGTCCTTCATGTCCTGCCACGATCCACAGAGAAGCACCTCTTAGGCTGACGACGGTGGAACCATTTCCCTTCTGTGAGAAGAGCGGTTAAAGGCTTAAGCCAGCGCTAAACGAGCTCCTCAACTACGAAGCAGAACCAACGGATCAGGATGCGTATTGATTGTTTTCTCAGCTGTGCTTTGTGGCTTTAATTATTTTCACAGTGTGACCAAATTATTCACAAATTACACTGCAATGGTAAAGTCTTCTGTTTCTCCACTTTACTGTTGTTGCAAACAATTTTTCAGGTAATTTCACACTGAAAGGGAAAATAGAGACCACAAAAGAAAAAATACAAAATATTGACCACCTTCTAAACCTCATCTGATTATGTTGTGGAAATAAAATAATACTTATAGTGACTGAGTTTACAATTGAGTGACTGTTACAGGTTGGAGAAAGGAAGGCGAGCGCAGTATCTTTGTTTAATCCACATGTGTTTGAGTCATTGTGTGAGCTGGAGGACCGTGGTGTACAAACTCACAGTACTGTCTGAAGAATGTACGAATGCTCGTACGTATCATCTCCCATCTTTTTCGTCATTTTCAATATCGTGAAATGTTAGTACCTTTGTTGTTTGAGGGAAATTTCACAATAAGAAGAAATCTGGTCCTTGTAATGATTCTGGTCCTCAAAGCCAAACGAATATGATAAGCTATACTTACACAATGATGTGATGTCAGTTTGTTCTATAGTGCTGTGAATTCTAACACTAATTCTGTCCTTCTCTTGTAATGTCGCTTTCATCTTTACTTAGTGAAATAAACGTCTGTCTGTTGTTTACATATTTGTTTACTGATGTGTATTAACATATTTATTGTAATATTTATGAATAAAAAAAAAACTTATTCAAAATGAGCTTGTCTCTTAGATGAAATAGTGGAGAAGGAAACCTCAAGAGGTGACAACGTAAACAAAAGACATGTTTCTGGCAAATCCAGAACCAAACATAATAAAAAAAAAACCACAAAAATACATCATTTGACATCATGTGGTGTACACCGAAGCTCAAATAGTCCAACACTCTTTTTATTTTGAGGTTATCTGAGCAGCTAACCTATACTTTCTGTTTTCTTTTGGAGTAATAAGTACACCTGTTGTCTAAAGTGGCTGACCGCTGTATTCAACTACACCATGGAGATATATTAATTTGTTATAATTCACAGTAAGTTATAATGTAAGTTGTCCTAAACCATATTGACCACCTTAATGAAGACCTGGATGCAGTTTGGGTCAGTTAAATGAATTTTTGGGGATGTAGTTAAAGAAAAGATTTGGGTGACTATTGACTTGTAGTGTTTTTTAGTAACGTTAACCTCATAGCTCCAGTGCTAAACTAAAGAAGCAAAATTTGGACACCAAATTTCTTGGCTGATCAACTACATCGAAGGTAAGCAGAAAAGTGTGCCAATATGATTTTCTGCCAAATTATTCCTTTACACTTTACACTTGCAAGTCTCTTTCACAAACATAGTTCTTGAAAAAAAACTGAAAACCGATTGGTAATTATTTTCTGAACATTCAGTTTATTTTATGCTATAAACACAGAGGCAGCAGTTCAATTTGGGGACACAAGCACACAGAAACACAGGCACGCATCAAAAGTACACTAATTCTACAGCACATTAACATGTCCATTCTTTCCATGGCCTTTCACTCACTCTTTCCTTTGGTTATTTTCATGCCCCGCAGTCACACGCTGAAAATATCTCCAATTTATATTCACTAATTTATTGATAAACAGTGGAAAAAATGACCAGCAAGGCCTAGGACAACCTGTACACTGTGCAATATTATCTTGCACTCTTCTACGACCCCAGCATGCTGTTTCAAAAGATCTGGACATGAAGGTCCCTGCAGTCCTGGAACACTGTGATGAAGCAACGTGCGTAAGCAGGTAAAGACTGATACCAGGTTAGCTTAAAGCTCCACCATTCACATGAGGAGACATTTGAGGATTTACTCTGATTTGATTTGCAGGTTGATATTTTAGTAAATTTAGCAAACAACAACAACCACATTTTCCATGAAATAGAGTAGATCTGATGAAGTGAAAATTCCAGTTTGAATGGAATGATTGATTCACTTCCAAGTCTTACCCAAAACCAGAGTAGAAGCTGCTGAAAACAGACACAAAGTTGTTTTTTTTCCAATCCAGTGGCAAATATTGAGAGTTCTGTCTTTTGTCATGCTGATGTAACTTTAGAGATGTTTCCTAGACATGTTTCTAGGCTTTTATTTGGCTTACTTTACATATACATGTGCAGACATGGACTTGTACCACAAAGAATGACTCACATTCAGAATGCGCAAATCCGATTAAAGATAATTTCTGGCCTGAGAAGCCACTGTTACCAAATGACGTGCACAAGTTGAAATCACATGCACAGTTTGCACCTACTGTCATGGTAGCATCCACGCAAAAACAAGAAATACATACAATTCAGTAAAGACATTAAGCTTTGTGAAGTGCTGGAAACACGGAGGAATGAGTTCAAAGCTTTTTTTAACCCATCTATATACAACAACACCGGTTATTTATCTGCAGGACCTCCATTATATACAGCACGTTGAGTGGGCTTGTTGCGGAGGAGATGTTGACTTTCAGAGTGTGTATATATTAGGGACATGTAGGAAAATAAGTCTGTCTATCAGATTATAGACCCTGGTGGGTGGCAGAGAGATGGGAAAATAAAATCCGCAGGCGAACACCAAGGCTGGGGAGGAAAAAAGAAAAGCATGAGAGAAAATCGGTTTTAATGAGAGAAACCTCTGCGATGGGAATGTTTTGGTCTAGGCTCCTCTAGTGTGTCCTTTCTTTGAATTTGGAGAGGGAGAAAAAATAGCCGTGTTGTGCGATGATTCAGCGACGACGGGAAGGTCTAGAGATTTGTTGCTCACATAGTTGGAGCAGACAAGCGTTGCTGGGAATGAGACTTCAGATGTTTAGAGTCTAGAGAGTGATGCATCGTGATCATTACATTGAGATTTACACTTAGATTTACACACAGTAGCCTTTGGTTTGTAAATGAAGCGCAAATGAGTAGGAGAATGTATTTAATCTATATCGTCGCTGTCATGACAAAACCTTATATCCTCATTTTTGTGGCTTTTTTTGCATAACAGAAATGGTCTAAAATTATATGGAAAAAAAAAATGTTTTTATATTAATGTCCATTATAAGTTATGAATGTTTCTTCTTTCTCCTGTAAGCTTACCGTCTTGGAGATTTAAAGTTTTGTTCTGACAGTGATGATATGTTAACTGTGTAATTACAAAAAACAAGCCAACTCTGATACATACATAAGAATTAAATTGTGTATTTAATAAGCAACACGTGAGTATTTATGAACAGCATTAGTTATTTCAAGATGAAATGTTTTATGAATTCGATGATACTGTATTTACATAAGGGGCCTAAACTAAAGTGATGAACATTTGCTCCATTTTTAACACTGCTATAATGCTTCATTCTCAAGTAATGGACCTTATGACACAGAAACCTACTAAACAATGATTTACACCAGTTCTATGAAATACTTTAAACCAAATCTGTTCATTCTCACATATATTTTCCCACATGTAAATACCCTGTTGGATAAAGTACACAAATCCGGTTCTTGACTGAAATAGTCCTGGTGAAACATAACTGAAATAAAAGCAGAAGTCCAATGTCTATATTTATATTTGATACTGGGGAAAGTTATACTGGGAAAAGTTAAAGTACTGTGAAAAATAAAAGTACTATGAGTTGTTACAGTTATGCTAAATTATTTTGATGAATGATCTAGTAAGAACATCGTTTTGGTTCAATGAAAAGGTCTCTATAGATTATATAAATAATACTTTTGTACTCAAGTAGCAATATAAAGAGCTGAATATGATTTTCATGACTAAGCCCCCGTTTTAAATGTTCCATTACTTGAGAATGATGCTTCAAAATAGTGTAATAAATAGAACAATTTTCATCACTTTAGTTTAAGGCCCTGTATGTCAACACAAGGTCATGCACTTCATAAATTACTCAAGTCATTACTCAAGTTTTGTTTTATAAATACATTATTAGCTGTGTATAAATGTGTTCTGCAGATTGCCCTCAAAAAAGTGTTACCAAAACCTTTAAAGATTATTATTGATAAAATGTATAATTATTTAACAACCTCCTCACAGCAGCACACTGTTAAAATAAGGGCTCCTAAATGGCTCTTGACTTGGATGTAAACTAAAAAACTTTGTTGAGCCTTCACATTATGAGGTTCTTTAAACTTTAAAAAGGTTCTTCACACTTGCACATCTCATTAATCCAAATGGTTCTTTAAAGAACCACTAATTTGAAAGTGTCCTTAAAGAACCAAAACTGGTTCTATGGCATCCTGTATTATTAAGAGCTCAGATATTGTATGAACATTCCTTAAATAATGAAAGGAATGATGATTGTGGGTGCAGGTGTCTTCAGTATCTTTATATCATCACTGTCTGAATGAAATCTTGAGTCTTCAACTTTGCCTTTTTTTATTGTTTTTGCATAATTTGAAAATACCAGATGCAAATCAAAATTACATGATGAATGGACCAATAGAAATGGCCCGAAATTACTTGTTACACTTACATTGAAAATCAAGAAGGTTTTTTTTTCTAATGTAAATTCACTTATGGACATACTTCCGACAGTAACAGCGCTGTAGTCGTTAATAAGTAGGCCCATCACATCACATCAAACCCAGTGATACATCACAGATACATGTAGATAGTTAATCCTTGGTTTTGAGCACCTTTGTTAGGTTAGTGGCTCTCTGTTCAGCTTCAAAGGAAGTAAGACAGCCTGAACAGTTAAGTGGATGAATAAATAAGGGTCTGGCAGAACAGAGAGTCTGGATGTTTTTTCCTGGATGGCTTATCTCCGTCTGTTCCCTATTCGCTGGCTGGATGTTGCTAGAAGACTGCAGGCTACTCATTATGGTGCAACACAGGGCCTGATGTAATTATACACTGCCCTGTGGCCCTAGGTGTGACAGGGCCTGCTTGATCAGTGGAGTGAGCAGCATTTGAAATGTCAGCCTGCAACCCACCTACACACACACATGCACCCACACCCCCCTGACACATCACTTAAACTCAATTCGTTGTAACAGTGCCTTTCTTGTGAACCCTATTAAATCCGATTTCATTATTGTTCACTGCAAACAGCTTAATGATGCTCTGATAAATATTCAAACACAGCGAATAAAGGTTTGAAAGTGATGAAAATGTCTGTTGAAAGTTCTATGAAATATTGCAAGCTTCTGGACTTTCACGTTAAAGAACGTTGCTTTAAACATTCGTATTGTGATCGCTATGTAGGCTCAATAATAACAGCAATACACGCACAACAATGAGGCTGAAATACTGGGTGCTTATGGATGCTTATAAACGTAGCCACTTAGATAGATGCCAGCTATCAAGTTAATTCAATAAAGGACATTATTTAAGCAGCGAGCCGTGAACAGACTGATGTTTATTTCAGTCATAACAGCTTAATATTCATCAGTACAGCATTCTTGCATTTGTTAGGCAGATTCAGTGTCAGTAAGCGCACCATAGAAGGCTGTAGCGAAACTAGCTAAAGGCATTACCGTTGCCAGTGGTTTATCTTCTCACAGTGAGAGGAAATAAGTACTTAGATTCTTTTTTGTTACTTAACATAACTCCAATGCACATATCCACTTCAAATTTACACACATAATGTCTATTGACTTTGTATTTATAACGTTGAACAAACAAGCATAAACAAAGATATGCTTTAAAA